TGTCAATCAATTATTAATATATATTTAGAAACATAAAAAATATTGATTTTTGTTTATATTGATTGATAAAGAATTAACGCGGAGGAATATAATAATTGTAAAACAAAGAAAAGAATTTTTATATATATTTTTATATGATTATGATTTTTATGATTGTTTTATAAAAAATATGGGAATTAATTTTAAAAAAAGTTATAAAATAAAGAAATGTTAAATTGTAGTAAAATGTTCAAAATTCTAACCATTAATATTAAGTTATAATAATAATCGGTGAGATTATTGGGAAATTATAAGTTATAATCATAATCAGTGAGATTATTGAGAAACAATATTATAAATTATTGGGTGTTATTTTGAATGCTACCTTTATAATTCTTTGTTTTTAATTTTAGATTTTATATTCTACATAAACATAATCTTATCAATAATTTTTCTTTTTCACTTTTATTTACATATTTTTCTTACGTTCTTCTGGAATTTTTTTTTTGTATTAGAATACAGTTTGACACATCTCCTTGTCCCGCCGTATATATTGATTTGCATTAGACTGAAAAGTTCTAATTGCCCTGTCGCCTCCTCTCTTCAACACCACTGTCAAGAAAGCGGGATTGTCAAGAAAGCGAGATTTGACATTGGAATCAAAACCTAAATATAAATAAAAAGAAATATATACTAAAATTATAGTTGAATCCTTTATTAAATAATAATCAATATAATTAAATACAAAGTAAAAAACATAATCAAAATAAAAGAAAAATTAAAATTAATAAAAAAATAAAAAAATTAAAACGTAAATTTAAGTTAAAAATAATAATTTAATCATCATCTTTCGCCTCCTAATTTTTCCATTATATATCCTTTTTCTTTAATCAACATTTGCATAGTCTCAATTTGTATCGAAATTTAATTCTTTTTTCTTGAGTAGATTTGAATATCTTTCGGCTTCGTAATTTTGTTTAAAAGTAATTTGCCTGTCTGGCGTTTTTCTTAATCTAGTAAATTTGCATGTTACCACAATTACAACAAAAGGTAATAATAAAAAATGTTCCATTATTTTCCTTTAAATAGGGTTAACAAATTTGTTTACCAACTTTGTCATTACTTTAAAAATATTAATAATTCCTATATAATCATCCTACAAAAATCCTTATTCTAATAATAAAATTCTGGCTTCAACCAGTACACGTTATAATTTACCATTAAATTTAATTTAAAAATTTTAAATTAATATTTATGTAAAATATTTACTTACCTTTTTATTTAAGTAAATCAGTATCTACCAGAATTCGTCATCCTGGTCACGGCACCACTTGTTAAATGATGAACTTTATTAACATCAACAAATATATATCAAATCAGCAATACATCTGGTAAAAATTACACAAAATACATCATCATGTCTGAAGACAAAGCTTCTTCAGATATCAACTAACTTCAAAAGATCACTTTTGATTGTCATTTCATATATATCATTATATATGTATATATAACAAAAATACAAAACTACAACGTAAGTATTATAATTTATTAATACAAGATAATTATTTCAATGTTAATATTGAACTATTCTTCCTTTAGTCATAAATATGGATGACGAATTGAGGAAAAAAATACACAGTAAAGTATTATATAAAGTTGGTTATGGTCGGTGCACTGGTCTATAGATTTGGTTAACCATATCGACCGATTTGATTGAGTTAGGCTGCTTATTTTTTCGAGCAAAAATCATACCAAAAATTACGATTATTCGACCCAACCAAGCAATTTAACAACCCATAAAATATTTAAAAAATTTGGATTTGTGACAAATTTTACTTTTGCCTTATTTTCCGGAAAGATTTTCCATTTTATGTCGTTGTAATTAGTAAAAACACGACTTTTACTATGAAGCTCAAATTATAAAAGTTAGAAGGCTTGGTTTTTTAATATTTTAAATTTAATAATAAGGCCATCAAAAATTTAAGAAACATGTTGTGCCAATATTTTTTCTTAAAAAAATTGGATATTATTTAAAATAATATGGGGTAGCTTCGTTCTGACAACAAACCTGGTTAAGAATATATAATTTTATCGATTTTTAATAATTTTGAAAGTATCAATAATTGACACAATTTTTATGTTATATCCTTGTTTAAATTTTATAAAATTTTAAAAATAAGGTATAAAAAGGTTTATAATAAGGATTATGACAATTGTAACTTTTCTATGATACATCTTTATTCAAATTTTTATTTATGCTAATATAAATTTTTACCTATTTGCTTGAAAAAAAAATCAAAAAAGTTAAAAAAAATAATGATTAGAACAATTGTCACCTTTTTATGGTAGATCTTTTAATTTAACATATTTACAATAAATTTTTTACCATTTTGCGTCTAAAAAATTTAATAAAGTAAAATAACAACGATTATGACAATTGTCACTTTTCTATGGTACATCTTCATTGAAATTTTAATTTTACATGTTAATTATATAAGCTATTTGAGTCAAAAAAATTCAAAAAGTTAAAAAATAGCTATTATGACAATTGTTACTTTTCTTTTTTACCGTACATCTTTATTGAAATTTTAATTTAACATATTTAAAATATATATTTTTATCCATAAGAGTCAAAGAAAATTTTAAAAGTTAAATAATTATGATTATGACAATTGTAACTTTCTATGGTATATCTTCATTGATATTTTTAATTTTCCATGTTAATAATATAAATTTTAATCCTTTTGCGTCATAAAAAATTCAAAAAGGTTTAAAGAAAAACATAACATCTTTATTGAAATTTTAATTTAAATTTTTAATAATATAAATTACCCATTTGTGTCAAAAAAGCTAAAAAAAAATAACAATTATGACAATCGTCACTTTTTATGGTACATCTTCATTCAATTTTTATTTTAATTTAACATGCTTACTAACCCGTACTTCCAAAAAAATATTATAAAAAAAATCATTTACATCTTTGATTCGAATTTTATGATCTTCAAAGATCTCGATCTTCAAAGATCTCGATCTTAAAAGATCGTTGCTCAAAATTATTTTAAATAAATATTTATCGTTGCTCTAAATTTAAAAATAAAATCTTCAAATTTTACGATCGATCTTGAGGATTCTTTTATTTTGAGCAAATGTATAACTTTGTTGCCAATAAAATTATGCTTAAAAAATATTTATTAAACACTAAACAAAATATGTATATAAATTTTCAGAAAAATTTATAAATGTTTATATAATATTTATAACAAAAGATAAAGAATTGAATCATCAACTTAAGGAATGCGTGACAAGTTTATTGGAAAATTGCACATTATTTATAAAAAGGAAGCACTATATGGAAACATAAATGCATTTATCATGTATAAATAAAATTTTACAAGTTATCAGTAGTGATTTGAGATCTTTTTGATTCATTATCAAACCTGCAACAAAAAAAATGTGTTCATTCGGGATGCTGATAACTGGGTTCGGGGTGCCGATAGTTACGACGGGAAGTATTTTCACAGTCAGTATTGCTAAATTAGATAATTCTGCTCTATTCGTTTCCAAATGCCAACAAATCAATTTCAACTTATTCTTGCTGTCATAATATCTCATATTATAGCTAACATTGCAGGAAATATAAAGAATATTGATACTACTATAAGATTTAATTTATAATAAATATTTTTATACAAATTTTTTTCTTCAATTTAAAGATATTTATAAATAAGCGCCATGCCACTAAAAATCTACGTCATTGAAATGTCTAAAAAAGGTTCGACGACGTGGCTGCGCACAGATCTAGAAGCGACTAATGTCCATTATAACCGAGAGCAAATTTTTATTTTTCGGTAGATTTTAGATTGCTAAATGATGACCAAAATTTATGACAAACAGGGTCCCCTACCCACACCCCCAAAATTCCCGGTCCATCTACCGTAGTCTACCCTCTACCACTCATGGAGCCTCTGGTTAGCATTCTTCATCGAGGAATTTTATAGAACCATCTAAAATATTTTATAATATAATAAACAATAACAACACTACCATTTTCTTCTAGCGCATCTTAACGGACTAAAAGCTGTTCAACACGTTTTAATAGTATGGGTAACAAGTCTGAAAATATTCCATCTCTTTTTAATTTATTTTTCTAAAAATTTGTAAACATTATAGCTATTTTTTAATTAAAATTTTTTTAAAAATCAACCCTTACCTAAAAATAATTTAAGTGAAAATTAAATTAATCTGAATTCTGATTATATGATTAAAAAAAATGTTTTACTTAATATAAAAAATGTGCCCCGGGTGAGGATCGAACTCACAACCTCCGCATTGCTCAATACTATTTATAAGTACGGCGCGCTGACCAATTGCGCCACCGGGGCTTGTGAAATTCTTTAACTTTTTTTTTAGATAAACCAAGGTTATTATATTATTTAATTAGTCAAATTGATCTTAATTATGTTAAATTGAAGAATTGATAAACATTAATATTCCATCGAGCATTTTTTAAATATTTTTGGATCACACATTTATTACATTCACGCATTTGGAATGAATTAGATATTGATAGTCAGGTAATAATTAATTAGTCTGTTATATATTTATAAATATTATTAATAAAAATCAATCTCAAGTCAAATATGTTGATAATATTGAATAATTTACTGCAAAGAAAATTTTATAGAACAATAAATAGTTATATTTAATGATAAAATTAATTGGATAGGGATATTTAATTAAAACAAGTATTAATGAATTACATTTTTATAATAAACTGGCATTTTGTTATATTTTTGCTAATAGTTCACAACAAATCATCTCCCTTTTATATTATTTTTATAAGGGTGATCTATCAATTCTATAATTATAAATTAAGTTTTTAATATAATGTAAGAATTTGATAACATCATATAGGGTAATAGCAAAAAGATATATTATAAAATAAATAGGTTAATGTTTGTATCTATATAATAAAAATTTACCTTAAGATCATGTTTTTATGTATAATATTATATATATAGCCCTTGATTGAGTTTTCAATCTGGTTTATTCGTAATTAACATATGAATTGGCTTGATACAACTTCCCTCTCTATCATAGCTACATCAGCTTTCAAAAAGGCTCAGAAAAAAATTGATAGAATATTAGAAATTCAAGATGAAGATGGTGCTAATCTAAAATTTAAATCTAATGTAAGAATATAATTTTGTACTAAGTAACAACTTTCTTTACATTCTCATTTTCCTATAATTATTTTTATTTTCACAAGTCTATAGTTATTTATGTCTTCAAAGAAATAAATATTAATTTTACAGTTTTTTTTTCTTGAAGGAGAATGATTCAACTGTAATAGTAAATGAATCAAATAATTCAAAATCTAATACAAAGATTTCTAAATTAACGGAAATGTTGGAAATATGTAAAGATGCTATAATTGATAAAGAAATTCAACATAATTTTTCTGATAAAACAAAGGGTATTGATATTGCAGATAGTTGGAATGAGTGGAATGGTGAAGATGTAATAAAAGGTTGAAAATTATGACCTAATTTATAATAGAAAAAGGGAAAGTAGTTAATTTATAAAAGTGAAGATGGTAAGGAGAAAGGAAGCAATAAATAGAAAGAAATATTTTTTAAAAAAAGAAAACAGCAATATATTTTTTTAACATTATACTTATATAAATATGAATAAACAAGTTTTACATGAATTACTTTGTATTTTATCTTAAGAAAATGTTAATGAAATCCTACAAAACAATATAGCCATTCACAATATTGATGAGGTATTTCCTATTTCTATTTTTATCTGATTGAATAAAGATTTTAAATAAATTTAAAAATAAGAAATTTTAGATTAGGAGGTGTGAAATATGTAATTTTCTTATCAAAAAATAAACAAACATAATAAATTATCAGAGTTATTGCTGAATATTTATATTTAATGCACAATTAAAAGGAAAGAATATTTTGAGTGTGAAGAGATATATTTCCTAATTGTAATTTCATTCATAAAATGTTAGGTTACATGGGCTGACCCTATACCTAAAATATTCTTTGCCTAGCTATATCCAGGATTTTGCTAAGGGGTGAGGGAACCCTATTAGTGAGGTTTCCCTCCTTAAATTTTATTGGAGGCTTTTATGCCCACTTATTGTTCTCCTTCAGCTATAATGGGGTTTTACTTTTTTATTAAAATGTTTTTTTTCTTAAAATTTTGAATTATAGCTATTAATTTAAACTTTTATTAACTTTACTAATTTATCCTTCAAAGTTTTCTTTATAGTGATATTTTGTATATATTTTGGAGAAGGTGGGGCGGGGGGGGGGGGGTGTAGGGGTAATTTGTTTAGCATAAAATGATATTTACGAAACAGGCAAATATGTGAGAGAGGGCCTTTATTACGCGCCTGATTCTTTTGGCGAAAATATCGATTCTGCAGGTCTTTAACAAGAATAAGATATGACAGGGCTCCATACAACTCCCTATAGAAAGTTAGTTACATCTCATCTATGCCCCTCTATATATTATAAAAAATCATATTGAGATCTGTTTTTTTCGATTTACGGAAATTATTAATTTTATGAATGTCAAAAAAAGTAAAAATCTGATCAAAACTGGAAATGGTGATCAAAAGGGAAAAGGGGTATTATCATAAAAGGAAAAACATGCCCTAAAAGGAACTGTTTCAATCAAAAAAGGAAAATCCCCATCTAGAAAAGGAATATTACTATGGCATTGTTAATTTTTTGAACGTGAGAAGGTTTTTTTTCATTTCAGCTTTGGCAAAAAACAGGTAATTTTATCAAAAATGAGCAAAAAAAAAATTCGCGAAAATTAGCTTAACCTTAAATTTCCAAAAAAGACGATGTCTAAAAATTTTTTTTATCCCCTCCTAACCACGCTACTTGGCAAATCATTATTTTTTATAAGTAACAATTTATATTTGTTTTAAATTAGTAAGTTATACGGTAAAAAATTAAAACATGAACATTTATATACACTATTGAATTAAAAATATATATTAAAAACAAAAAAATCAATATAAAAACATATAATTAAAAGAAGGGAAATTAAGAAAAAAAAAATTAAAAAATTTAGTTATGTTTTCTTTTATGAAATTTTGTATTTTATATCAAATTGCTTTTGCAAACAACTTACATTTTTAGCCAAAAAGCCCGCCAACTCGTTGTTTAAAATTTTTTTTAACCCGTCCACCTATTTATATTTTTTTAAAAAAAAGATTACCCGCCCTACTGCCCATTTATCTATAAATTTTGTTATATTTTAATGTATTTCTAATTAAACATATATAATATACAAAATTATGAAATAAAATTTTTATTTTTAATAAATTGAAGTCTGTTCTGCTCATTTCGCCTGAAAAATATAAAAAATTTACCCGCTCATAACTGCCCACTGCTTTAAAATTTAATTTAACCATTCCAATGTTAAAAATATTTTAGAAAACCCGGCGGGCTAAAAATCCGCCTAATGCAGACCTCTACCCCCCCCCCCTTCCCCCTACTATAGATGGCCCTAAGGTTAAACATTATGATAAATATATCATAAATTGTTAAACACCTATTTTTGATTTCAGTACATGAATTAATCTACCAATATTTGATAGGTCTTTTCCAATCCTAGTCCACCAGAATTGGTTATCAGCAGTGCCTCACAAGTTAATTTGTCTTTGACTGGTTCTTATCAAGATGAAACTCCTAACTTAGATGATCAAGAAGGTTCATAAAAAATCTCTCTTAAGTTTGGTTTCAAAAATCAAAAATATATCTTTAACTTGTAATTAGCATGCACTTTATGAATATGATATTTAATTGTTTTTTCCTAACCTTTAGGCTTGACAATAAATTAAATTTATATATTTTTTTAAATGTTATATTTTTAATTATATTTATCCATGAATTAACTCTTTTTTATATATTCCTCAAATAAATTTATGGAAATTGTTTCATAATTGTGTTACCCTTTTAAACAAAATTTTAAAATAATTTTTATTCATCATCATCATTTTCGGCATTAAATTATCCCCGAAGTCTCCACGCGCTTACATATTGTTATGGTTATAAATACACTAAGTAATAGTCCATTTTTAAGGCATATTTAAGAGTTGAATTTGATGAAACTTTTTATATTAGGTTTTAGATCGCATACTAATAAAAACGCGAATGAAATAGTTTCCGGACTGACCACAGAGAAACATTTGGACCACAATATTGACGATAAAATTTATAACAAAACGATTGGCCATACTGAATCTAACCAATCCTTTAAATCCACCAAAATGAAACCATGCTTTATCCTTCATTCTCCTTCTCATTCCGCTATTTTACCTAATCAAGATTATAATTTTCACGATCTTAATTTGGCCGCTCAAAATGAATCCCTGAAAGATCATTCGAGTGATTATGATGATCCACTAGCAACTGTTAAAATTGATGATAATTATGATAGTAATATTGAACCTAAAATGGATAAAGTTGAAATAGAGGAAAATATGGCAAAAATATATCGTGGTCTATTTGAAAATGAGGAAGCAAGAACTAAGCAGGAATATTATAATGATAGCAAATCAATCAAAATCGAAAAAATAAGTGGTGACATATTATTTGACACAAATAATATCAATATAATTGAAAACCAGAAAATCAGTCAATCCTTTAAAAATTTTAACGTTAAAAATGATTGTGAATATCATATTACAGATACCGATATAAATTCATCCTCTCATTCCACCCTCACTTTCAGCGTGTTACATCCTCCCATCATAACACCATCAAACGATAAAAACATTTTACGAGATGATAACATAAATTTTGTCGTAGATTTGGAAAATAAAATAATTACAGACGAAATATTGTTAGCTTCAGAAGATCTAAAATCATATGAAAATAATACAAAATCAAATGACAAAATTAGGTTTATAGATGGCCTGAGAGAATCAGACTATATAACAAAACTTCTCTGTAAAGCAGATGACGATAATAACCACATTATAATATCTGCTAGTTTGGGAAAGGAATATAAAAAAAGCATTAATGTGGAAAACATTAATTATGATAATAAACTCCCTCATAACAACCTCAATATTATTACAGACAACACTACTCTCATAGCAGACGTAGATATCAATCTTCCGTTAAACAATTTTTTAGAGTCACGTGACAAAATTATGACAAAATATCTATACCACGAAGATGTTGAATTAGCGGAAGATAATGTTATAGTAGACGATAAACTAATCGGTTAGTTATAAATTTGAAGAGTAGTTTCTTTTTATGTAACATATTGAGAACTTTTGAAGGAAATTTCATCTTTATATACATACATACTCTTTTTTAAATTAAATGAACATCAGGGTTTTACTAAATAATTTTTAATGTACATTAATAGAAATTTTACCTGAAAATCCAATTATTATCGATCAAGCTTTTGTAAACTTACATACCAATATAAATTCTATTAGTTGCCGAGGACCATAATATCAACGCGAACCTTTTACTGACAGATTTTCTAGGAGCAGAGGATCTAGTATCAGAAACAGACGATCGCTTGGTAAAAAACCAGTCCACCATCGATGCTACAAGGATGCGCAGTAATACATCTTCCGATATAGAAATTCTGTCCCTTCCACCTACTAGTGTGTGTTCTTCTGATTTCACTGGTACTGGTAATTTGGAAGAAATTGAGGAAATGATGAAGGATAATTCGAATTCTTTTAGGGTTTCTTCACATTATTACTTTAAATACGTGTCATACGTGTATCGATGCTTAGAAATGGTGTATACTTAACTTAAAATTTTATCTAATAGAAATAAAAATATAATATCCTCTGTTTTAATTTTCAAAAAAATAAATCATTTAAAGCACTCCAATTCTAAGCTAATGATATTTATTAGAAAAGGAAAAGAAGGGGCGGAAGAAAACTTTTCTCAGTATCACATTGCCTCTGCCAACATATTTCAAACTTTTTAAACAAAGATTTAATTTTGATAGTTTAAAAAATTTATTTGAATGATCTCATGGCTAGAGTAAGATGTTGAAAGAACTGAGCGCAAGAGGTTTATCGCAAAAATCTTCTTGGGGCCCCCTCAAAAACAAAATTTCTTATATGCCCCTTGATCCACTTAATTTGAGACCGTTTGAGGCCCCTATATCTCGTGTAATGATATATAGCGTTGCACTTGCACCTTATTGATTTTTTTAAAAATTAAATATTAGATAGCGTAATTTTGTCCTTATATACAAAAAATTTGTGTGTTTAGTAGCGTCGATGCGTGTGTATCACTAATCCGATACTTCTCTGTTTGAATCCAGTAAGGACAGGATTTTTTTGTACCAAATTGTGTTAGTGTCTTACGACATAGTTATCGATTTCTAGAGTTTTATATATTGACCACTCGTACAACATTTTAACGGGTTTTTTCACACGATTTAGCCTTACAATCATCCTCAATATCTAAGACCCCTGTGTCACATCAAGACCCATAACCCGAGCAACATTTCCGCTCAAGATGGCTACTACGACACTAAAAGTTGAGTCTTCTTTTTTTTAAAAGTTTTACAAATATTTTAAAATAAAATGTAAACTAAAATATATTTAAAGGCCTCTCGGATCGCGACTGTTTTCGGTGTATAATTGTTAAATCAATATCCTCTTTAAATTGATCTCACTTTTATCATGGGATTTATTAATTTGAATTTCAAATTTAAGAACAATCATGTTTTACTTTAAATTAATCTCTTTTTCTTAAAAAAAATTATAATCCCATGTTCAATGATGATTTTTTTAAAAACTTTCCCCTTATAATTTAAAATCGATTTCGTGAATCTCTCTCATTGGTTTTTTTATGTTTAAATCGTAAAATAACTTTAATATCTTTTTTTGATTTGATTAATGTTTTTTATGGTAAATAGATAATTCTATTTTATAGGTATTTTTTTATATTTTATTTTTAATCTTATCAGAACATTATGTATGACCTTTTTTTAACAAATTTAAATGATTAACTAAACGTCGCCACAATATATTTTAATATTTTTGTGGCATTTATTCTCCCATTATTTTTAAATACCTAATTACAACTAACTACAGAAAGGATTTTTAGAAACCTTTTGGACTGTAAATTTTATAGGGGAAAGAATCTTAATTCTTACAACCGTGTTCAGGTCATGCCATGTCAAATTGATCAAGATTCCTATGACCTCTAGGGTTTTGGTGATTTTAAAAATACAGGGCGCGTCTATCTATAAAAAATATTTAAATTAGATCAATTAAAGTCAGAGATTGTTTGAAAAAAAATATAGAATGGAACGTTTAGTATTCATACTGCTCAAATTTTCAATTTCCATTTGAAACAATTTGCAAAAATAAACACAGTCAAAATTATTAAAAATAACGAAATTTTAAAAATTCCGGACCAGTTTAAAATTTTGGCTTCTGCAGGTCTCCGAAATGAATATTAATTCCATTATATGATTTTTCTACTGACTGATTGATAAATTTAGGCTTAAAAATTATCCTGGTATAGATTTTGTTCATAGTGTATTTTTTTAGTTAAATTTTCTGGTAGCCATTTTTTAGTCTCCCGTCATTCTTTAATTTTTGAGCCCTCCATAAAAGGACCACTTTGAGGGTCAAACTTACTGATATAAATGGGAGGAGATGAGGGAGGGAATATTTTTTATTCAATAATAATGATAAACACTAACAATTTCAATATATTCTTTATGAATTTTTTTTTCTATTTTAATAAATATAATTTAAAACATGATTTTTAATATTTCATAAATTATTTTTTGGGAGCCTAAATATTTTGGAAATATTAAATTTAATAAAAACAGAATTATTACATTTAAATTTCATATCTAAAGGTTCGAAAACTCAAGCCAAAAAGTCGGCTATAATATTACCCATAGCGGCTACTCACATCAAGCTCCAACCAAAGCAGGATGGTAAGCGGCTTAATTTGTTTTATCATTTTAATTATCTTCTTTCATTCTGTCTTACATTTACAACTAAAAAATTTGTTCCTTGAAAATCTTTTTACGAAGTTATCAATTTTTCTAAACTTATGTTTTTCCCGTTTATAGCGTTTTCACACATTTCTTAGTTTTGATCGAAGTTTAACAATTTACGAGTTTTATAAAATCTTTCAATGATTTTTAGTTGATTAAAGATAAAATTAAGGTTAATAAAAGAAAAATTTATTTCAATATATTTTATGAACTCGATCAGCCGTTAAACATCTACAGCTAATGCCAGCCTCAGAAATAAATGTAACTGTTCTCATACCATCTCATGATTAACCATTATAATAGAGACCTGAAAATCCCGGTTCATGGGAGGAGAATTTTTTTCAAAAAATATAACGGGTCAGACCGCTAATTTGTACATAAAATAAAATATCAGGCAGGGCTCGCAAATATTTTCGTAAAATTTTAATAGGCCACTACTAGGTATTGAATTTCGATGTTTTTTTGAATTTATCCAATATTTTACTGATACTATTTAAAAATAAATTACGATGTGCTTATTTATTTGTATTTTAAGAGTTGTCAACCTAAAATACAAAATCTAAAAATAATATGGTAAATTCACAAAAAGTTAAACAGTTATTTTATTTATAATATGATCCAATTACAAATGCTTGATATAAATATGAAACACAATTGATTTATAAAACGGTTGTTGTTGAAAGAAATAGATCGCCATATGGGCGAGATATCGCCATAATTGACATTGGGCAGACATTATAGATAAATATTAAAAATATGTTGGCTGAAAAATTGTTATAAAAAAAGAAGCCGGAGCCGACTTTTCATAAAATTTTAAAGGCCGGGCAAATTCTTTTCCAAATATTTGGCAAATTTGTTTTTCAGAACTCTGATTGTACCATAATACATATATTATATTTATATTATTATTATTTTTATTCTTCTCCCTTTAAACCTTCAATTTTTATTTATTATGCAGAACAGGACAATAAAGCAGCGAATGAGAATTCGAGTTTGATTTTAAAAGTCAGGGAAGAGCAAATACTGAAACTATCCAAAGAAAACATGGAAATTAAGGAGGAACTCGCTAAAATGAGGTTATAAAGCAATCATGTTATCATCATTATACTATATTTTAATAGTTGATAAATTAAGAATAAAATATAGAAAGAAGTAAGAGAAAACAATATAATTTAACTATATTTTAATTTTAAACTCATCAAGGGATAAAATTAATACGGATCATGAAGAAGTCGACGATTTAAAGCGAGAATTTGGTCAAAGGATAAGCGAATTGGAGAAGAAGCTTTCGGTTGCTAACAAAGTAATATAATATTATTTTGATATTTCGCCGATTTTAACAAGATTTTGCAGTGTTTATTACTAATATCTTATCGGTTATATATCGAATAGTTTATTCTATATACTCACCATATCTCCCTTTTTGGCGAGGTGTGTTCTTCCCACATAAATTTTATTGAAGATCTTTAGGTCCACTTATTGCCTTTGGCTATATTATATTATTAAATTAATTTTGGGTTTTACCTTTTCTTATAAAAATGTTTTTCTAATAATTTTGAATTTCCTTATTTTAAAAAGTTTCACTTTGACTAATTTTTCTTTATAGTGATATATTGTGTACATGGGGGGGGGGGGGGGGTATTAGCTTAAAATGATATGGGTTGTTAGCAAACAAATTAGTTAATTAGCTTACCTCTCCCCCTTCCCTACTAACATCTTTCGCTATGATTTTTCAACTTAATATCAGTCAAATGTTATTACATCTTTAATTTGTATCTTTTAATATCCCATTTGTTGTCCTTACTTATCTATTTTTTGGTTATATTATATGTTACAATCTATTTTTAACATACCTTATTTTTATTAGTTTAAATTTTTAAAGAATTAATCTATTTTATAACCTTGACTGACAAAGTATTATATTATTATTTTTTTTACATACATCTAGTTAAAGTCATAAAAAAAAGGCAATTTTAAGGCTACACCTATGCGTCGATATTTACCGATATTCACAGAAATTAATTCGAATCCTATATATAAATCCATTTTTTAAATGTAAATGGTATTACAGGAACAATAAAACTACAATATAGTTCATAGCATAAAGAATATATTATATAAATATGTAAATATGACTATAAAATTAACTCTAAGATATTGAATTATTGTTTAGAATATCATTTAAAAAAATTGATAATGATTTTTGGTAAGCTCATATTGGCAATGATTCAATATATTAATACCGATGCGGTCCTCGATTTTCTCTTAATATTTAAATCAAGCGAATACAAAATTTTCCATTTATTTTGGGTGACTATGCCCATATGTATTAATAATTTTCTAAAGTTGACTATTATTTTCATCAGGACAAAGACATGTTGAAGAAACAAATCAGATCTTTAACAGCGGATAAAACTTCCTCTAACATCCCATCGATCACAAATATGAATGAAATACATCAATTGAATAAAATATTGGAAGAGAAGGATCAAGTCATCAACGAACTCAGGGGAGAAGGTTTTTCATAAAAATAAAGACTACTTGTTTTTCTGTTCAAAGTTTTGTATTTCTTTTCTGTTTTGAATTTCTTTTCTATCTCACTATCATTTCATAATTTGCACACTAGTGCCCGAATTAAGTTTTTGGAATTAGTGGTAATGAAGGTCAATTAGGAGTGATTCCGCAATTCGAAGAAGTCAAAGAAAAATGACCGACTACTTTAAAGTAGGGTTCGAATTCAAATAGAATCTAGTTTCTTAATTTGCCATATCCGGATCGAACAGACGGGACCAGTTGGGACTATAAAATAATTAGATTCCATTACCCGTATTTTTAAAAAACCGAATTATGGTGCGGTCTGAACCGGTGATTGACTTTCGCTAATTAGTGGAATGAAGAGAAGATAAATTTATTAATTATCTATTTGAGTGTTGATATTTTTTTACATTTTGACCAAATAGCTTTTTTTGCATCTCTAAATCAATTATTATAAAACGTTGATAAATACATAATTTTTCTTTTTTTTAACGCCATTATGTAAGGTGAAAAATTGTCTAAACAACATTTGCTACATTCCTCGTTGGTGAAAAAGCTGAGGAGTAAAGAGAAACGATTAGAAACGGATCTAAACAATTCTAAGTAATAAAAAATATAAGTTCTTTGTACAGATAATAATATTTATTATTAGATTTATAAATAAAAAAGCATTATAATATTTAGAAAAAGTTAAAGAAAAAAGAATGTAATGGGGGCTTAGTATTCACAACTAGAGGTTGGTGCCCGGGTAACTTGTGAAATATTTTTACGAGTCGGGTATGAATTACTGAAAAAAGTTTAAAACTTTTAATTAGGCAAATTTATATATTTTTTCTTCATAATAAATATAACTGGCCAGACAACTTGTGCGAAATTATTTTACGGGGCCAAGCAAAATATTTGCCAGCCGGGTCGAAAAACTGTTTCAGAAATCTTCACGGTTTGGGCATGGCCTCGCCGACTTATAGTTACGAAGTTATAAAGATGATGGGATAAAAAATGTATATTCAGGTAAAGGGGTATGTTGAAACGGTTCCATGTAAATTCAACGAAGCTTTTATCTCGAATCCACATTCACGAATACTATTCAGGAAAGAGAATAACGCAGAATTTTGTAGCTAAATCCTTATCGCTAACCCTTTAGAGCGAATAATTACAGCTAAAGTTTTATCGCGAACCAATAATCCCGAAAATTATAAATCGAAGTAATTATCGCGAAGACAATATAGCGAAAACTATTTCGCGAAACATATACCGTGAAAATATTATCAATAATTGCTAGTAGTGATTATTTTATTTTGAAACATCACATTCGAGATAAAAGTTTCGCAATTTACCTGACGAGTTGAAAACGTATAATAAAAAATGTTATTAGAAGAGAGCAGTTTTAAAAATTCTTTTTTATTTATGTCTTCAATAATTTACGACTTAAAAACATAATTTTAGCAAAAGGGTCGAAGAATTAACCGTCGAAACAAATAAACTCAAGGAGAAATTGACCACGAAGGAAACAGTAGAAGATGAACATTCAGGTATTTTTTTTAAAAAAATCATTTTTTTGAGTTATATCTTTTACGATTAAAGCTGTGTTTATTACTATATGGGGCAGGAACTGTATAACCCTGAAGACCTAAATTCTGATTTTATCCTTCCCTTTTTTTAAATTAAGCCACTGATTTGTGCTTTTTTCATTTTTTTTAAATTGAAATGGTAGATTAAGAGGAAACATAATTAATTCTCCATTGGCGAAGGGAGTGGGAGAGTGTAAACACCCCCCCCCCCCACCTACTTTTTCTTTGCAAAAATATGAATAAAATATATCATCCATATATATTTTTTAAAGAAATATGTTCTAAATCAGAGTTTGAAAAATTTTTTACAATTTTTGATTTCATATCTTGAAGATTATTTATGCAAAATTATAAAAAAATTATTTTTAGATAAAATTTTATCAAAATCTCTGTTCTTCAAAATCATTCCTTAAAGATTTTTGTTCAAAAATGGTTTGAAGATTTTTTTCAAACTTGGATTTAAATAAATAATTTTTTTAAATAATGGCTATAATAAAGATTTTTGAAGGAAAAAGGTGGAAAACCCATTTAAAAAAAATATATAATCGGCAGAACTATCCAAAAAATTATGGCGAAATAAAACCTCCTTATAATCTTCCCTTTATAAAAATCTTATATTAATGTCTAAACAAGTTAACTATAAATTTTAATGCTTTCTAAAACTTTTTTTAAAAAGAACTATTGCAACAAATAACGGCGGATAATATACTCAAAACGGAACGAATCAACGAATTGGAAGGAAACTATCACGAAACTTTGGAAAAATCTAACAGTTTACAAACCGGGTTAACTGGAGCTTACAAGTTTAAATACAATTATAATATTATTAGGCCATTAAATTTATCGGCAAGCAAAATTTTGTGAACCTTATTGTGCAAATTCTAGACTCAAATCATAGGGGAAACCTACATTCCCTTATTTATGTTTTTAAAAGATTAGGCTTCCAATGGTAACTTCGAAACTGATAGCAGTAATGATATACTCTTTTATTTGAAAACATATTTTTTTATAAGTAAATAAATGAAAGCAATTTAGAATAAAACTGCATAATTGCTACCCTGGCAGAATAGTTCCTTGATCCCATAACTAAATGTCATTTTTTTAACCTAATAAATAAATTAAATTCGACCAAAGATATTTTTTTAATATAGAAGTTAGGACTTAGAATCAAAACCTAATTTAAATGGCGGCTAACCATTTTAAAGATCTTTTTAACTTATCTCTTTTAATAATGGCAAATATCTCCATATTCTTTCATTTAGAAAATCATCAATTCATTGTATCCTGATTTATGACTTCAAAAAAGGTTAATCTATTGACTAAATAATTTTTTTTAAGGGAAATTAGCGCTTTGCAGAAGTCCGTAGCCGATAAAGAAAAAACTATTCAGGTTTGTGAACTAGTTATCAATGTTTTATAATTATTATTCTTTATTTTAAATGTAAATTTCTGTAATAATATTGAGCTGGTTGACAAAGCTAATAAAAATAGGGAAGCACAAAACCTGAATCTGGTATATTTCTTAATCTCTAATAAAAATACATATTCTAACAAAATTTGAGCATTTCCAGCCATTGGTTAAAAAAAATGTTATGAACGACTGCCGTTTACCCCAGTCTCCCGGCTATATTATATGATTTTCCAAAGAATAAAATAAAAATTTCCCTTCAGTTATAAAACTAAATTCCCGCATCTTTGTGTCTCAGTTCTTGATCCGATTTTTTTGCAAAGTTCGGTAAGGGTCAGATTATAATTTTTTTTAAAATAGAATTCGATCCAGAAGGGTCTAGTCCCGACCCACCTAATCCAGATCCGGGTAGTCAGTGTGGTATAATAGAAATTACAGTTAGGACCGTTATGTCTTAATGCATTAGGAGTAAAAAAATCCTGGACCCAGTCTGGAACAGAGTTCGAGTTAAAAATTGGGTTCGGTCCGGTTTATACTAGTTTTGAATCCAGGTTTGGTGCGGGGAGGAAAAGGAAATCTAAATCTAGGTTCACGCTAGGACGCGTTTTATATCCGCTGCTTTTTTTATTATTAATTTGTTGATTGTGTTCTTTATTAATTTTTATAATAGAGTGATCGGCATCGGACCTAATTTTTTAAGCCCACCCCGGACCGAAATTTTTTTTAAAAATTTTTGCCTGTCTGGCCCAAACCCGATTTTTTTTAAAAAAAAATTTACCGGCTCGGCCCTGCCCGATATTATTTAAATATAGAAATTAATTTTTATAATTACTCAAAATAAAAGATATATGTTATATGGCGTCTAGTTTCTATTAAATAAAATCAAATATTTTTATTTTACATAAAAAATTCAACATAAAATTGATAAATTTAGATATATTTTAAAAAAATTTCAAGACCACCCGGCCCGAATTTTTTAAAAAAATATTAGGCCCGACCTAGCCCGAACCCGATTTTTTTTTAAAAAATAGGCCCTCAGGCCGGGCTTACTTTTGCAGATCTCTAATGGAAACCATATCGAACAACAAAAATAAATGAATTTTTAAAGTATAATATTTTTTTTATTCATGTCTTGATGTCAAATTTGAATGAAAAAAATTATTATTTACTAAATCCAGAATTGTTATTTTGCCATATCTTCTTCTTACGAAATTTATATAATTTTTAAAGGAAATTGAAAGCGACAAAAAATTAGCTTTGGATATAGCTATCAAAAGTTTGAAACTTGATATGGAGAAAGATGACGAGGATAAAAGGATATTTTTATGCGACCAGGTTAATTATCACGATTTAGCTAGTATTTTTTCAAAAGTTTTGTTGTTAATTTATAGGATCAATAAATAGACTTGAGTAAAATGACAAATTTTAGTTGTATTCTTTAATATAAAAATAATATGACGTTCTTTAGTAATTTTAAATAATGATTTTAAAAATAAATTCATGCCCTAATTATATTGTAATTTTAAATAATGATTTTAAAAATAAATTCATGCCCTAATTATATTATTTTCTTGGATAGAAATAATGATATACTTAGTTTACATTTTTCTTGTGAGGAATAGAGATTGGTTTCCATCTGCAGTAATTCGTCTAGATATACTAGTTTCTTTTTTGAAAAATAGTGTTTATAAATATTACCAAACTGGAGAGCGAATAAAATAAGCTAGGCATCACATCCAATATATGGGTTGGTTTTCTATTTTTAAGCAAATCTTGTCATTTTTACTTTTAGTATAAACAAATTATGAGCCATTTGGAACAAAATATTTTCCTGAAAGAATCTTTCTTATTCTTGAGGTAAGGGCCAGTATAAGAATCCTTTATTAGTGACCTTCAAAATATTATTTCCATGCCCATAGTTTCCAACACCTTGGAAATCTTTGGGGACGTGGTTTCCTGATTAATCATAGCCTCTAAAAAAATAACTGTAAACACCAGAGATCCAAACGAGGGGTTTTATCTATGACAGACCTTAAGATCTGTCGATCTAATTTCCTAAGCATCTACTCCTCCTATGGATGGCCCCACACCTTTTATTAAAATTTCAATTTTATATTAGTATTTTTAAAAAAAATATTTAAATACAAAGAAAAAACAATAATAGCGCCTTACCACAAAAAAATTTGAAGATAATAAATAAAATATCATGAATAGAAAGTAGATTAGATCTACATATTTCTATTCCTTTGTTTTATCTCAAGTAAAAATTATTCATTTGGATAGCCGAAATAGCTACTAATTTTCTTTTTTGATATTTTTAAAGATGAAGGAGCCTTGTGCTCAACTGCCGAGTGTGGATGCAGGGGCAAAAATAGTGTTATTTAAAGATGAATATTCTAGATGTTTGATCGGGCGAATATTTTTATGGGGTATAAAGTCCTATACGATGTAACAACCCTTTCTTTTTGAGGAAAATTAAATGAACCTTTATAATTTTCTGAACCCTTATAATAAAATCTTTGAGAGAACCAAATCGTTATAAATACTTACCAACTGGCCCATGAAAGTTTTTAAATTGCATATATTTATTTTAGATGATTAAAATAATTTAAAATATTTAAAAAATAAATCTACCTAAAGTTTTATGTGCGGTAATGTTATGTTATTTCTTATTATATTTTTATAATAAAATTAAGGAATTCAACTTATTTTCTTTATTTTTTATTTGCTTTTTTATCATGGGTCAATTGTGTGTATTATGATATATTATTAAAAAAGTCAAAATTATGAAATACGGAAACAGTCTAAAAGAATCTTTATAAATTTCTAAACTGGAAGGGAACCAATCCGTTTTAAAATTTTTAATTAAGAACGGGAATGGAATTGAACAGTTATACATACATGACAGTACCACACCCTGCAATTTTGGGAAATTTTATTTATAAATTTCCAACGGGAATTTTGCATAGGCGCTAATTTAGATCAGGTCTTGCATTAAAATTTTCTTGATGTTTAAGTTTTACTAGACGAATAGCATGGTTAACTGTCTGTCACTAAAGGTTATATGCAACACAATCAATATTTTCAATTGAACGTTAATTATAATAAAATATATGTTTTAATTTTAAAACTATGTACAAATTAGGTAAAGGAACTCGATAAAGCATTGGAAGAAGCAAAAGATTCTGGTAAATTTAGGGAAGCCAATTTGCAAAGGGAAATTGATCATTTGAGAGAAGTTTTACGATTGATATATTCGCATTTTACTTATAATTTATATGATTCTTTTTTCATTTTTCTTAATTTTATACCCAAATTCGTTTATTCCCCCCCCCCCTTTATCCTTTCTGGAAAATCTTACATAGGATAATTACTTCCTATAATTTAGAGGTCTGTTTAGCCCGATCCGCAAGGTAAAATGATTTTCGGGCATGACCAAACAATTTGCTCAATTTTATAGACCTTATCAGTATTTTTTGGGCCGATATAACCTTTCACATATTTATATCTTTTCTTTCCGTTTCTTGTTGTTATACTTTCAAATATTTATATCTTTTCTTTCTTTCCGTTTCTTGTTGTTATACTTTTATTTCCCACTTTTCTTTTTCTTCTCATAAGGAATTGATGCAAGGAATAGATATTCACAAATCAAACTTTCATAATGGCAAATGATTTTTGAATTTTATTATATAACTATACATATCTTGATAAAAAAATTTATTTATCCCCCTCTTTATTTTGATTATTTCTAGACTTTAAAAAGCTGTGAAAACAAAAGAGCCGATATATCCTGTGATTTAAGCTCGGCCACCAGGCCTCTGGTGATTCAAATTGATGATTTAAAGGCAAGCTTAGTGGCTCGGAAAGATGAAAACGGTCGATTCAGAAGGGAATACGAACAAAAAATGGGTAAAAAAATTATTTTGGAATAAGATTGAAGAAAGCACATAATAATAATAGATTACTCAAACTTCTTAAGCTACACATGCTGTTCTTTTCTTATAAAGAGAGAAATAGAAAAAAGGCTGTTAAACACTTTTGAATCGTAGCTTTCTGTGTAAAATTGTTTATTACTATTAAAAGATTGACTAATAATATTATAATAAAGTGGGAGAGTTCTGAACCAGATCCGAACCCGTGTTAGAATTTTTTCCCCAAACACGAAGCTCCCAAACTCTAAAGTTACACTCGAATTTTCTCGAACTTGTGTCCAGACCGGAATAGCAAAATTTTTTGTGAAAAAAAAATTAATATAAAGATTGCACTTAAGTTATAATTTGTATGGTTTTATCGAAAATATAATTACAAATACATTATCACCAATGCAATACCATGAAACATTATCTATAGCATTACCCACAAATAAATACAATTGTATCCTATAAGGGCTTGGGTGGGATTAATAAATTTTTTTAATTAATTTTACTAAAATTATAAATTAAATATAAATGATAAAGGACTGTTATGGCCTAGGGTTATTAAATAATGAGATTGCTTACTGGTAATGTATTCACCATGGTATATAGAATGTATTAATAATATAGGAATAAATAAAATGGAAAATAAATAAATTTAAAAAGCTATTTAAAGAAGCTTGATCTTTATATTCTGATGAGTTTGAAAAGATATAATTTAAATAAAACACGATACTCTTAATATTCTTATAAATAAAAAAAACCATAGTGTAATTTTGTTTATATCGTCGTTTCATCCAACCTTTTAATATTTTAGATCATTAATTAGATTGAATTTATAATACAAATTTTGGAAGTATAAATTTTCATTTCGAAATTATTAAATTTTAAAATTGAATAAAATATAAATATTTTAATTATAAAATTAATTAAATTAATTTCCGTGATTAATATTTATTTAAAAGTAACTCAAAAAATTAAAGTAAAAAAGTAACAATTCTGAGATCCCGGTAATTGGCCATGTCCTGAGCCTTATTTTCAGAACCATATAAATAAATAATTATAATGTCTAATTAACTTTATTTTTTTTATAAATTATCTTATTTTATATACAGAAACCACAATGACATCATTAGAAGAGAGCCAAAAACATCAAAACTTTTACAGACAAAAAATTCAAGATCTTGAAATAGAGATAGCTAACATTAGCGAACAATTAAGATTGTCCCATCTCAACCAAGGTGAGGTTATGAGACTGAACACCCTGCTGAATGACGAAATAGAATCAATCAAACAGTGAGAGAGAAAAATTCCTTTTTTAAAATATTATTTTCAGACTTTATCTTCTTTCTTTTAATATATCGAATCTTAAAATAATCAAGTCTATTCTCTTTTCTCAAGACGCCTCCCGTTACTTAGATCTTTTTTCTATATCTGATAATTATTTCTCTTTTCTTCAATTTATTTTATTATATAATATTCTGCATGTAGATATTCTTAGGTAATTTTGCTTAAACTAGATTGGTTTTATATATATAACACGATTTTCATTTTTTTTTAAATTAGGCGGAAGGAAAAGTTAGTCACTGAAAAAAAATCCTACATTGAGGAAATTTCCTCACTTCAATTTGAAATACGAAATCTTAAATTGGAACTCGATAATACTAAAGACTTTAAAAGTCAGTTTATAATTATTATATATGATAAATTGTATTTTTAACCTAAGTCGCATGGCAATTTACAAATTAAGCATTAGCAACATCACACAATGCATTACATCCTGCACAGTTACAATTTTTTTAAATGTGAATACTTCTCCTTTGCAAGTTAAAGTTTAAAATTGTCATACAAATTGCCTAGGAGCCTTAAAATGATGTTTTAAAAAAAATTCTCTGAAACATAATTTAATAAACATTAAATGCACAATAAAATTCTTGCAACGTGCCTTTTTAAATTTTTGTTCACTTTTTTTATCAGGAATTATTCAGCTATTTTCATCACAATTTTTATAAGATTATTATTAAAATACGCGCTGGTTTAATCATATTCTGACTAGATGACAACCTTTTTCTTATATTAATTTTTGTTAATCAGTGTCAATATATTACCTTCTATACCTCGAATCTAAAAATATAATAACGCAGTTATACTTTATGATATACCCAGGGGCCCCTACAACGGGGGGGGGGGGGGTCTGAAGCAACTGCTTCAGTAAATTTGAGTGGGGGTTCTTTTTTTTACATCCATCATGATCATATGATTTCTGGTTTATAAATGTAACAATAAGACCCCCCCCCCCCACTTAATATTTAATTTAATATATTGACGGAAATTTTGGTCCATGTTTAGTAAATTTATTATCCGAAATTTCTTGTCATAAATTTTTTTTCCAATTTTAAAATATGCCTAAAAATATTAACCAATATTGACAATAGCAAAATTCCTAGAAATTGGATTACTTATAGTATTAAAATGTATAAAGTTTTTTGCTTAACATGCCTCTTATTTGGTGGTCCACACGCAAATTCAAAATGGACATGTGAAGGTCTAGATAAATGGCAAAATATTAATCGTGATATTATTTTGCATGAATCTTCACAGGCACATATGATGGCCGATTATGGAAGGCTTTCTCATACTAAAATTCGATATTAAAATTTATAACACCTCAGAAAGAATGTGTAGATAATAACCGTTCTATTATAAGAATTATAATAAGATGTTTAGATTATTTAATATCTCGTAACCAAGCCTTCTGGGGGAACAGGCAACAAGAAGGGAATATGATGGCCCTTATTAAGCTTATTGCAGATTCTGAACCTATACTAAAAATGTATATACAGCAAAATGAAGAAAGAAAAAAGGATAAAAAAAATAAGGGATTAAAAACGAAATTATATTCAAACCTATTATCATATAATAACATAAACATTCTCATTGAAAACATGAAAAATATGGTTATAAAAAAAATTCAAAATGAGATTACATTTAACAGGTGCTTTTCAATCATAGTTGATAATACATACGATGTTTCGAAATCAGAAGCAATAGCTTTGATAGTAAGATATGTTGAAAATAGTGAGACGCTGAAGCCTGTTGAAAGACTGATTGACATATATTGTACTGGAAATACCACAGGTCTCGATATAAAGCATAATATAATATCCAAACTTGGCTCGATGAATTTACCCCTTGAATATCTAGTTGGGCAAAGTTATGATGGCGCCTCAAACATGAGTGGAAGAATCAATGGTGTGCAAGCCTTGATTAGAGCAGAGGCGCCAAAGGCAGCTTTTATTTGGTGTTATTGTCATCGATTAAATTTAATCGTTGTTCAATTATGCCAATCAATTAAAGAACTTCGAAATGTTCTAGGAATAATAGATGAGATTTATGTCTATTTTAATGGTGTAAAAAGATATGAGGTACTCAAAAAATTTCAGTGTAATGATCTGAAAAAATCGCAACGATTTCTACGCGTCAAGAATACCACTCGGTAATAGTTCCTTATTTGTTTAAATTTTAAATGTTTTTTTTATTTAGAAGCTGGCTATCGTCATATAAAGCTATTGTAAATTTTTTTCAACTTTATGATGCCTTGAGGGCAGCTTTAACAAATTTAAAGGATTCTGAAGATCCTGCCACTTCCACTATGGCTAGTGCTATAGTCTTTAGAATAGAAAAATTTGTAAAATATTGTTGATAACAAGTTTGGCTTGTACAAAATTGCAAACCATTTCGAAGGATATAGGGTATGCAATAAATCAAATTCAATTGGCAAAAGATTGCTTGATTAATTTGAGAAGTATAATATAAATTATTGTCTTAATTATTTTTTAATCTAATAGATAATAACACTGAATTTTTAGATGTTTTTTCAAAGGCGCAAGATTTTATGAAGGAGAGAAATCTACCTTTTGATTTTGAAAGTTCTAGACTTCAAACATTACAATCCAAAAAGGAGAGGTATATATACTTTCATCATTAAATATAGAAATTTTTTTTAGCTTTAAAATAGGTGTGTTATATGCTGCACTCGATTTAATTATTATGCAGTTTAACGAAAGATTTAATAATGATTCAATGAAATTTTTACATCAAACATCATTTTTTACGCCAAAGGGAATGGCAGAAAAATCAATTATTAAAGAAGATATCGAGGATATCTGTGAATTTTACAATTTAAATTCAAGACAAATTTTCGAAAAAATGTTGAAGTTTAGAAATATTTATAAGATGGCCAAAATGGGGAATGTAATTATTACTCATGACCTAGAGGTTCAAGAATCTAAAGATTTGTCAGATTCTGAGAATTGTAAATTTATTTAATTAAAATATTTTTACCAATACATTATTTAGCTTCTTCTTCTGATGATGATAATTCAGGGACTTACGATTCAGATTGGAAAAACTATTCATTTATTTTACCTTATCGTTTACTTTTAAATTTTTCTGCTTTCCCTAATTCAAGAATTTTATATAAATATTTATTAATCATTCCCACAACCTCATGTACTGCCGAAAGAGTTATGAGTAAAATTAAATTAATTAAAACAAGACTGCGCAGTACCATGAAAGATTCTTTTCTCAATAATTTAACCATATTATCAATGGAAAAAATTTTATTTAAACAATAAAATACCGATGAAATTATAAATTCTTTCGCTTTCTCTTACCCTAATTTATCGAAATTATTAATTTAAAAATAATATTTATAAAGTTATATTATATTTATATTATATATTAAAAATTGATGCAATAAAAATTATTTTTGAAATTTATGGGTGTCATAATTATCATTTTTTCGAAGGGGGAGGGGATACTTTTCAAGGGAGTACTTTTCATGGGGGTATTCTGCTTCATTCGCTCAAAAAGTGTAGGGGCCACTGGATATACCTGTCCTTTTGGCTTAATTACCCTATTATTTTGTATGCATAAGTTCTTTAAAAATACCTATATAAAATATGAATTTTAGTTCTTAAACAAAATCAAATCTATTATATAAATTTTATTTTTTGGGATTACTTATAAAAATTTTAATCCGGAAAATTGACGATTAGAACCCTTTTTAATTTATAAAACCTGCACGAGAAATATGATTATTCTAAGTTTCAATAATTTTAAAAAATATATACTAGCAAAACAACACTCAACTTTATTATCACGCTCTTCCCATCCCGCATTACCAAATGACTCACACAAAGATCCCCTTTTAAACCTTTCGAAACTGATAAATTCCTCCAAGTTGAACGACAACGATTCGCTTTACAAAAATCCATACGATTATTCAACAGCTTTATCCGGTTCAAACAGCAATTTGGATCAGGAAAATCTCGTTAATTCATACAATACTAGAAAATCCAAAAAATATTATGCAAGTACCTCCAGAAATATGATGATCGTCGATGAATCTGATAACCATCCCGCGTTACCTCTCGACAATCGATCTTATTATACTAACGATGAATCCGTTGGGAGTTTGGGAAATATATCATCGATTAGCGACACCCTTCCATTTGACGAACGCCAATCCTCGATTTCTTTCGAAGAATCGCATAACTCTATGTCTACGCTGGCCGATGAAGACCTAATAGTTTTTTCTTAACAATTTATAATTTAATTTTTTTTTAACATATGCTTTTATTTAATCTTTATTCTGGCTTTTTATATTATATATAGACTTAACTATTTTTTTTTATAGTACAACCAAAATGATCATGATCGGGACTACACAAATTTCGAAGGAGGTTGGGTCGACATCGAAAAATTTGAATTTCAGATCAAATTAAAAGAAGGGCATATCCAAAAACTTAAAGTTTCAATTTATTTCATTAAAATACAGTAAAAATGTTTAATTTTTTAATAACCAATCATTGGTTATTATCAGTGATGGAACCAGGACTCTAAAAAGTGGTTCCGTTTCTCAATATTGAAGTTAAAAACTGGCCTGGTCCGAGTTCATAGAGTAGACAGAACACACTAACACATTTTATAATGAACCAATACTATCTAAAATTTTGAAAGTAAGCCAAAAAAATATTAAATAATTAATCAAAAATTTATAAATCCCCATAGACCTATGTAAATACTAACCTCAAAAAGATCTTTTAAATATACTAATTTTAATTACAAAATCTTTGGCTGTTTTGCAAAATAATCATCCATATCAGATTGTGTCAAAGAATGACTGGCACACCTGGTATTATTAATTTATTAATGTCTTTAATGGCGAGGATTCTATGACATTTTATTGGTGTTGCAATTGAAATACGCCTGATCTTCAAAACTTTTTGATGTAGCAGCTTCTGTATAGAAAGAATGTTTTCTGCGTATGCCCTTGTCCAATCCAAATTTGGGCTCTGACTAAATAAAAGCTGGAAAAGTAGTTTTTCATGCTATTGTTGAAATTTGTTAATCTGTCATACAAATATAAGATCAAATAAATTTATGAAAATAATGTTATAATAATTTTTTAAAAATATGAAAGGCCACTAAATGATTCTCGTTTCTTAAACTGCTATTATGAGTTTAAATAATATTTGTCAAATGATTTGTAAGTAATATTTAGATGATTGTTATGTTTAATTGAAATAAAAAAATTAATTAAGTCAATTTTTATAAAAAATCTCTTGATTTTTAATCGCAATTTAATTCTAAAAGGATTTTCAAACCCTGTACTTGCGACTTTATGAAAACCGTGATTGTTATATGCATGGATACGTCCGGCAAAATTTTTGACAGAGTTAGGTTCGAGTTCGATTTAAGGTTATGAAAATATAGGTGGGTTCGGTTCGGGTTCGGTTCAGGGAAATATTTTTAAACCCCGGTTTGGTTCTGGGTTCAGCTCGGGCTTAAGAATTTTTGAATTTATAAAAAAAATTCTATATTTAAATCATTGAAAAACTAGACATAGATTTGGTATAAAAAATAATTTTTTATTTTATTTATAGGCAAAATATAGTTATAAATACAAAGCATAGTCATGTATCAATTTTAAAAATTGACGTATTTCTTTAAATTAACAATATCCAATATAACAATTTTTACTTTGACTTGTTCACTTTCATTTTCCTCTAATTAGAGAATAAGTTAAAAATTAAAAATAAATGGTGAAAATGAATTTGTTTAAAATTTATTAACACTCCAATATGAATCTTTGGGAATAAATTTTTAAAAAAATTAAAAATGGCGTAAATGAATTAAGTTGTTTAAAATTTATTAACACTTCACTTAATTGGAAATCTGAAAATATTATAAAATATTAAATTATTAATATTTTTATTTACAATTATACAAATATCTTATATGATTTTAAACAATACACTGAACCCGGGTTCAAATAAAATTCCCGGGTTTGGTTCGGGATTTTGAAAATTTTTTAAACAGGGAGGTTCGTTTCGGGTTCAGATTTTTTCCAAAAACGGGTTTTCTTTTCCGGGTTTGGTTCGACTGGTTATATATATATTAATCAAATTATGATTTATGATCGGCTCCATTCCCCGATATTTCCTATACAAAATATGTAAATAAGGATAAAAATAATTTTAATATCAGTTTTAGTGCATATCTAATATTGCAGCCATAGAAAATACCTATTTTTTTCCATTTCGAAAGAAAAAAAATGCGGTAGATCACTAATAATAATTAGACCGTTTATACATTTACCATCATTTAATAAAACAATCGTGATTTATACCTTAAATTATTTATAGTCACAACTCCGAAAATTAACTATCAGAATAAATTTTCTAAATGCGGAATCGTCTAAAAATTCGGAAATCTATGCTCAATTGACCCAAACTCGTGAAGAATGCGCAACTCTGGCCACCGATCTAAAGCAACTTAAATTTAGGTATTTCAATTGATATTTTCTTTACCTTTTATTATACTATACGTATTCATTCGGACTTTGCTACTAAATATTTTTCCCTTGACTCCAATGCTTTTTGGAAAGGTTTGTTTTTTATTCGCGAATATCCTATTGAAACCAGATTTAAAAGTTATAATTCAAATAATAAATTTTTGACCTATGAACGTTTGCGAAGTTTTACCTTCCTTTTTTTAAAACCAAAGGAATGCAATTTTAAAAGATGATTTTTTTTGTTTTATTAAGGATACGCCCATTTTTAAGATTTGTACAACCATTTCGAAATTTGCCCAATCTAATAAGTACCTATTTTAATGTCTACAGTTAACACTATTCAATCCAGAATTTAAATATAAAGAAATTAAAATTTATTATCAGGTATTCGGCCCTACTTGAAATGTACGGAGAGAAAGAAGAAAGCTTGCAAGAACTTCAACTCGATTTACAAGAGATTAAATGTCTATACAGGGATCAAATGGACATTCTCACGAACAATTCTCCTAAATCTATGCTTAGTACAAATATCGTCGATAGTTGATTCTTACGCAGATATGTAGTATTCCCTGGCAATGATTTATAAGAAATATATATCTAAAGCAAAATATTTATTGGAAGTTACTTTTTTCTATAATTTATTTAGGCAGACATCTAAAAAAAACAAAATGTTCTCACTTTTTAATGGGAGTTTTATATGCGTTAATTGGTAACATCATTTTTTAAAGAAAGACTACTTTTATTTAAGAGTTAATCCTTTTTATTTTTCCCCTTTCCTTCCATTTCTTTTCATATCTCGTTAAACTAATCGATTCCGGAAGTGGACAGAATTTTGCGTTTAGGACTTATAAAAAAAATATAATCTCTTGTACGCGATAATTCTTGGGTTTTTATTTCATGATTCTTCTAACGATGTGTGATAATTAAATATTAATAATTTGAAGAAATTGCACACAATGTTCTATACATTGGTTTATTTATTATATATATTTTATGCCAATTTAAAAAAAAATGACTGTGATTTCGCTTAAATTATAATCCATATATTCTAAAATATTATAATTGACTTTTTAAAACCTTTTTATCTACCCTCATTTTGCTTTCAAATATATTCATATATAAATGTTATTGTTTTTGGCAAAGTGTTAATCTAATATACATACCTGGTTTTGAATTGATTGTGTACATTCCAGTATTTTGAATTATATAAAATGACTTAGACTTTCGTATATTCTTTTCACATAAAATTTATATGGCAATTATAATTTGATTATATATATTTGGGATTATTTATGTTAGATAATGCAATAAAGTTTAATATTTATATACCCATTTTCCATTCTTTTTGTGTATAATTTTAGGCGAAATTATCGTGAGCAAGATGGCAGATATTTTTAATTTATTGTCACAGATCTTTTTTTTTATCTTAAAATTTTAATATTATAAGAAATCCTTGCCATTCGATTACTAAATTATAAATCCGAGATAAAGATTTAGCACAAGTCATTTTTTTTACCACATCATGGCTCAAAGATGACTGACTATCTTATGTCTATATTAAAATATGTGTATTAAGCATGGATTTGAACTTACGACTTTTAAAAAGTGCAAATAAAATTTATGGGTGGCTTATAGTGCGCACAAATTGAACGTTTCAACGCTGTGTTTCAAAACCCAAATAATGCATTTTAAATGCATTCGTTTAAATTGAGCACATTTAAGTTTTGCATTTTAAATTATTTATTAAAAGACAAAATAGATTGCGTTTTTTGAAACGTTTTTAAATTTTGGAATGATAGAATGGATATAACATCTTCTAAAATGTATAATTTATATTAAATAATAGTGCGCACAAATTGAGCGTTTGCGTTTGCAGTACGTTTTTTAACGCAACGCATCTTTGTTTAAATTGAAAGCAGTACGTTTTTTCCTTGTTTCAAAATTGAAACATGATTTAATTTTTATTAAATAATATGGATTTCTTTAGTTTACAAGATAAACAACTAATTGCTTATTTTAATTATACAAGCATGAGGAGAACATATATTTATAATTTACAAATAATGCAAATAAAATAATTTAATTACATTTTCAATTCATTAATGATAAAAATGTACACTAGAACATGTAAGAGTATTAAATATCTTATTAAAATAATATAATCATACCATCTGTATGAGAGTTTGAAGCCAGAAGTGTTACATTTGAATATTTATTATTGTAAGATATATTTAAAGGTCACCTTATATTTGTATATTATATTATTCCGACATGTAATATATTATCAAGGTTAATCAAATTGCATATTATTAGAAGTTAAATTGGATAATTATATAAATGTATATATACCAAAAGAATTACAAATAAAAGTATTATCGTTTTAAAAACTTTAATCGGTATAATATTTGGCAACGAGGTAAAAGGTCGCGCGGTTTTCGGTCTTCGGTCAAGTTAAAAATTATATAGAATTATAATTTTTTTTTGTTAAAAAAAATAATAAATAAATTGATTTAGCAATTATGGATAAAAGATTAATGAGATAAATGGGCTACTGACGACTATAGACACATAAAATATCCTCAAAATTTTCTATTGATAGAGGAGCAATTGATTTCATTAGAGTCGCGGCCCCACTGAATCCATAATTATGAATTAAGAATTCGCGATCAATTAATCGCCGGAGAACTATGTTTACGATACCCAGATACTAAAGACGAAGACCAACCGTGAAACTTAAACAAAATTATAGAATTTATGATAATGATAAAGGGCACTATCAAAAGGATAGATGAAGCCTATTTAGATTCCATGGATAATGATAAAGGGCACTATCAAAAGGATAGCCTATTTAGATTCCATGGATTATAGAATTTATATGAAAAAGGGCACAATCAAAATGATTGATGCAGCCTATTTAGATTTCTATGGATTATAGAATTTTCGATTTCCATGGATTATAGAATTTATGATAATGATAAAGGGCACTATCAAGAGGATAGATGCAGCCTATTTAGATTCCATGGATTATAGAATTTATGATAATGATAAAGGGCACTATCAATAGAATTTATGATATAAAGAGCACTATCAAAATGATTGATACAGCCTATTTGGATTTCCAGGGATTATAGAATTTGACTTATCGTTACCAACATATGTAGAAATTAACATGATCAACAATATAATGATAATGGTAACGTGAATATTGATAAACTATATAGAGTAACCTGGAGTACTCTAATGGTAGTGGTACGTAAAACTTCAGGTGAACTACGATTGAAAATAATTCTACCAACGAATCGCAAAAATCGCTATAGATCTACAGATAAATGATAAAATAAAGCGAAAATAAAACAGTGATGGTGGGAACAATTGGTCGAAAAACTAGAATCGCCATCACAATCCTGGAAAAGGGAAGAAGAAAAATGAAAAAAAAAATGAACGTACAAAACCGTATTAAAACATCCCGACCATCTACGCGAAATCAAATCAATAATAACAATGAACCAAGTCAAAAAAGAAGGCAAACGGGTTATCCAACAAGGGAACTAAAGCCAACAAAAAGATTAATAGATGAACTTGAACTTGGTAAATAAAACGATTGGTAGACGATCTTAACTTGGTGGGAAAGAAGATATGTTACATTTGAATATTTATTATTGTAAGATATATTTAAAGATCACCTTATATTTGTATATTATATTATTCCGACATGTAATATTATATTATCGAGGTTAATCAAATTGCATATTATTAGAAGTTAAATTGGATAATTATATAAATGTATATATACCAAAAGAATTACAAATAAAAGTATTATCGTTTTTTTTAAAACTTTAATCGATATAATAAGAAGCTTTGCCCAATTTTATTTAATTGATCAATCACATAAGGTGATGTCAAAATAAATTATTGTTAGCTCAATAAAACATAGTAAGTTTTCTATATAAATAGTCAATATCTTAAAAAATCAAACACTATTATTCTTTTTACATTATAATATTTAATTTCTAAAGATAATATTGGCTAAATTATATGTCAATGAATTAAAATCCTATAAAGGCTTCAAATTTTGATCTCAATAATTAATTATTGTGTCAAATTTTATATTATATATACACTATTTAAATCTTAATTGTACACTTCTCTCAATCATGTTACCCCTGATATTTTTACTTATTGGATTTTCATAACTGTTTACTCAATCTCATTCTTTCATAATTTGATTATTATATTTGTTTGTTTATCCTACCTTAATATATTTATAATAATCTATATATTTTAATAAAAATGCTAAATAAATATGAGTAGTTTGCTTATTTATATATATTTTTTAAAAATGGACACTATAATATAGAATATTTCTTTATTATATATATAAATAAACATATTTACAAAAATAAACACACTAAGATAAAATTTGATGTTTGATTTAAAGTTGTTTGTGTTGAATTTACTGGTGATATTCAACAGTAGTATTTTGATCCTTTGATTGCTCCATCAAAGTATGATACAATCTTGATACTTCACATTTAAAAAAGTATTTATTTGAATGGCTCATACTTTCCAAGCCTTCTGCCATTGATTGTAGATACAATCTAAAATAATATTAAATTTATAGATAAAAAAATATATTTTAATGGCTTTCAGATGGCACCCTTTCCAAAAGAGCCAAAAGTCTTTCACCCATAAGTGCATTTATTTTTGAACCAGCTTTGGTGTAGTTTCTTTAGGACTAAAATTGTCAATAGTTTTTTCTGACCTTTATCACTGGCTTCATGAATTTGATATATTCATATTCAACTTTATCTTTAAGCATGATACAGTTGTATCATGCTGTGGAAACTCCATATCCATGCTAATAAAAATATAATTTATCACTGTTCATATATATATTTACCTTAAACTAATAGTTGATAAACTATCTAAAACTTATTCTAAAATGATAATAATATCAATTAATATATTCTAAAATTATATAAATACATTCTAAAATTATCTAAAATATAAATTAATATATTCGAAAATTATATAAATATCAATTAATATATTCTAAATGATATAATATCAATTAATATATGAGATAAATTATACTTACAATTTTTTATCCATTTTCAAATTTTAGCGCAAAATCAAAAAAGCATTAAAAAAAATCAAACCAGTTTCCTTTTTTTTAACGCTTGCCGTAAAAAATCTAATTTGCGCAATACCATCTAAAATGCATTATTAACTTTTAAAACGGAGCGTTGCAACGCTCAATTTGTGCGCACTATGATACAATAATATTTTTAGCACATGGAATGATGAAATTACTAAAAGGTTTGCCTGGTTTTGATACCAGTACTTTATATCTAAAGAGATTAAGAAATTTTAAAGACCAAGTGAACAAATCAGGTTCTAAAGGAGGAAAACATGAATATAAATACAAGAAATATATAAATTTTATGCAAAAGTAAAGAGAATAAGGATTATGGTCAGGGTTGCCAGATGTCACGATTTAGCCGTGATTCTCACGATTTCATACCTAATTTTTTACTTACCCACATTTTCTGACACTTCACGATTTTCTCACGTTTTTTGAGTAAATTAAAATAATCACACTTAGTCGTTTTTAAATTTTTTCAAAATATTTTTAATTGTAGTATTTGTTAATAGTCCAACTAACCAATCATATTTATTGACACAACAGAATTCAATTTTTAGAAAGTTTATCAAGTATTCATTATAATATGAATTTAAATAACTATACATTTCTTCTTTTTTTTTTTTTTCTCTTTAGCTTTCACCTTTTCTGGTGGTAAGCTCCTTCAACATCTCTCTTATGGATTTATAAATCTTTTATTAAAACTCGTAAAATTTTAAATGAAATAAATTAAGGGAAAATATTATAAAAGATCTAAAAAAACATCATCCGTTTTCAATACTAACGGATGCATAGAATAAAGGTAATATAAAAACATTTCCCTTATTACTTAGATACTTCAACAAAAAGAATGGAATAAATGTTTAATTACTTAAAAATTTTTCTCTGACAGTGAAACCCCTAAAGACAATGCTTGCTAGAAAATTTAAAATTCGCTGAACTTGAAATTGCTAATGTAAAGGCCTATTGTGCAGATAACGCATCTGTAAACATTGGGAAAAATTAAAGTATTAAGACAGAAGTGAA